AGATGACTCGGCAGAAGGGTATTCAACGTTTGAACGAGATCGAAGAACAACGATACCCATCATCTAATTCTAACTCACGATTCATGATAGAACAACATTGCGATAACCGTTAGGGAATGTTTCATTCTCTACGAAAGCCGGTATTTGCCGACGAACTCCTTGACCCTTTGGTCAATAAACTGATCTTTGATCATCGGTTCGATCAAAATATTCTTTGCAATATTTTGGCATATGATTCGTTACTTAAAATATTTTTAAATTTGATATGTTATACAAAAAATATTTAATATGTTATAAGGATATAAATTATTTCTCTTCACGATTTCTTAAAAAAAAAAAATATTTTATCGATAATATAATGTTTGTCCCTTTTACGTGCATGTCTACTAATCACACGAGATGTTAATCCCTGTTCTGTAAGCTGCGTAACTTCCAGCAATTATCCGTCCGCTGGTTAAACCGGCTATGGTTCTCAGCATCGCGGAGGACCGATCTGGAGTTTCGCGTTATCACGCTACATCTCGATACTTCCGTTCGCTGGAGGGCGTAATTCTGTCCTCGATCACTGCACGATTCGCTCGTCTACGATTACACGATATAAGTATGTAAACCTGTTTGTGAATTACTTACTCTAAGTACATCGCTTCTAAAATTTTTCTTGTAAAAGATCTACAGCAAGGTCGAACTTTATTAGAAATAAATTTTAATTCCGCGTACAAAGATAAAAATATGCGTTGTAAATATGTGCTTTGTCTTTTTCTATGAAAAATGTTATAAAAAAGATATTGCATTTAATATTAAAACATAAAATCAAAATTTGTAAACTCATTCGATATCGCATCTATTTAAGGCATTTAGATTGCGAGATTAAACATGCAACATATAACGAAGTAATAGACGGGACGGGTAGTTTGACCAATTTCAGTGTTATACATCGGTACATTACATGTGAATAAAATGCAGGAAAGGAGGCAATGTCAATGCGTAAGTGCCTTGCCAATGTTTGCCCATTTTTCAACTGTTTATTTTCAAATTAACCTCCCGTGCGTGTACAAACGCCCGCGCGGCGTAACGTGCACGCGTGGCCGGCGCGTGTCACCTGTCTGTCACGGTCTTGTGAGTACACGCCACCGCTACTTTCGTGAACACCCTTCATGGTGGCGACATGGCCGACTGACCCCCAAGACCTGCTGCTGGAGGTATCCTCTCTGTCCGCTCATTCGCGCATACACGTGCGAGAATAAAAAAAAAATGTCCCTTAGAGTTTAGTAGACATCCTTATCTTGCATCGTTTGATAAACGTAATAAAAAATTGTATCACAACATTATTAAGAGTAGCTTATCTAAAATGCAATTCTAAGTTTTATCTAGCTATCGAGATTAATATTTTAAGCCAATGGTTAATGAAAAAGACAAAAATTAATAAATGTGTTATAATAATATTATGTTGTAAAATAATCAGATAGTTTAGTTTCCTATTGGAAATTATATATGTGACGTATAATGTCTTATAACTGAAATAATCTACAGGGTATATATGTCATATTTAAAAATTGCAAAAGAATGAGACGAAGGGTTGCCCGGCGTCATATGCCGAGGATTCACGCACTGTTGGCGTAGACGCGCCCCGTCTTGGGGGCTGCAGGTGCAGGAGGTACTCCTTTGGCGGATTCATGCTTGCGTGATTCCAGGAGCCGGCAGGTCCTCCGCGGAGGGCCCCTCCGCCAACAAGCGAATCCTCCTGGCACGCGCGTTTCTCTGCCGCTGGTGTTCTGCGAACATATGTGAAGGAATCATGCTCGACTGCGCCGCCTTGCCACCCCGCAGGTACCTCTTGGTGGCGGCCGCAGGTGGTGCGGTGCACCTTAAACTGCCACCTCGAAGCAGGTTTTCAGGAAGTCTATGGCATGCCGATGCACGTAAACTTTAACCCGACGCACGTTTTATTACGATTATTTCCGTACACTTATCGAATTTTTGTATCAAATAAATCTCCAATTTTTATACTGATTATCTTGTTTCTCGTTAATTATTTCCGCTATAATATATTTTGCCATCTATGAATAATAATTGAAGTATATTTCTCTCTTCTAGATTTATCATTAATACTGCCTTGTGTAATTTCACAAATATTTATTGTGCTCTTTCTATGAAGAATTGGCGCACTGCACATGGATATATTGTAGAAAATATAGCTGGTTATAAATAGTTGTCGATGGACTGTAGGAGGCTGCATAAGCGCAGGACGTTTTTCATGTGGCTAGATCCCGGCGATATCCCGACGGCATTGTCGGCCGGCATTTTTACCGAAGGGTGAAAATCGCAAATGTAAATCGTCACCGGGTTGCATGTTGGTGCCCACGCGTTCGGATGTTAAATGTAGAGGGATTACGGCGATCGCGCGCGTCACGGTACCGATATTTCGAATGTATCGACGACCGACATCAATCGGGGAGGGGTTTACGGAGGTGTTCTGGCGACGGTGTGCATAACGGAACGGCACGGATTTGCGCATGAAGTCTTGAATCGTCCTTCTTTTTCTCCTTCTTGCTTTTTTTTTAGCCATTAAACGAAAGTGCCATCGATATTCAATGACGAAAGGTAAATGGATAGGTAATACGCTACCCGTATCACCGTTGTAAAAAAAAAAGGAAATGTAACAAGAGACGTTGAATCGGCGTTAGCAGGTAATAGGAAGGTTCTCAAACAGAGAAAATTTCCCGTGGGATAAGCATACAAAAGTCATCGAGGCTACTCGGGGTCAAACGATAAAATTAATTCGTACGCATTATCGCATCCGCACGTTATTATCATAGCTGATGAACAGTCTGCAGATGTATATATTATTTCTTAGATTCCCCTTTTTATCGGAGCTAAATTGCATTATACATTCATGAATTAATAACACATATTACCAATATAACATAATTTCAGTAGTTTTAATATCTCTATAAAATTATTTTAATTAGTAATATATAATTA